GCATCACATAAAGATTAAAATGAAATGGCTATTTTAAATCTTCCACCGGACTTGGTCTTCCTATGGTTTGTAGATAATTTGATCTAGTTTCTAGAACATTTTTCGGAAATGGGATTACTTTTCCAGATTTTAAGTTATTTAGAAAATAGTCTAGTGCTGTCCAGAATCTGTCCAGATCCGTCGACCGTTACGAAAACTTGATTTTATTGCAAACCGCTTAATGTTTTTCGATGAAAACAATTTTAGTTGAAAGCTAACTCCTTAAGGAAGGTTTTGACATAAAATAGAGGTTCAGAATATTTTTGTACAATTTTCTGGAATTTTTGAAAGTTGACTGCAAAAACAAGTTTTAAGGTGGTATGCCCGAAACAAGAAAATTTATAAAAAGGGGGTTCCACCATGGGAAAGTTTCATTTATTTTGTGAGGAAAATATGCTAACTATCACATGTTTAACTCAGAAAATTTGTTTGAAAGAGTGCCCTTGAAAAGTTGAGAGATTTGTACAAAAAGAAGATGGTTTGTGCCAAAATGAGGAAAATACAAGAGAGATGGAAACAATACTCAAATCTTGGTATTTTTAACATAAGAAAATGAGAATAACAGATCTGAAACATCACTTAAAATCTTTAAAAGGACATGTATTAGAAAAGAAAATGAAGAGAAGGTTGTATTGGTGGCTTACCTTCTAGCTTTGCACAAGAAACTCTCTTCTTCTTCCCTCTCCTCCTCTAGACTTCTCTTCCTTGCTCTCCCCCCTCTTTCTAACCAAAATGTGTGTGTGAGTGAGTGTGTTGTGTGAGTTTGTAAGCTAGGGGGTGTGGTATACATATAGGCAATTTTGGTGTAAAAGGACATAAAAGCCCTTTAGTTGAAAATGGATGGGAAAGCTAGGATTTTGGTTGGTGTCAAATGGGATAGGAGTAACTAAGGTGCTAAATCATAGGTTTTGGCATCAATTAGTTGATCTTTAGTTGAAAGGTAACTAGTTTTGAGATTTGCAACCTAGGTCTAGGTCACTAGGTTTGGATTTCCTAGAATATCTTAATCATAGTCTTGGGGAAGTGTGATGGGTTGTTATTTTAATTAATTTTGGTCCTAGGCACATCCCTCAAGGTGTATATATATATATATATATATATATTTTTTATCAGCAAAGAAAAATTTCATTTAAACAGCATGAAATTAAGAGTACAGGAAGATGACATGCATCGAGAGACATTCGGAAAGTATAAAAATACCCCTACTACTGCTACTCGCATCCATACAACCAACCCCTTAGCCTCTCGATTTTTTAAACAAAAAAAGTTAAGAAGGACTTAACTAGAAAATAAAATACAAGAATCCCCACGTAATCAATCCACCAAAACACCCAAAACAAACCAAATAAACTAAACTAACACCCAAGCTGCCCGAACCACCCAAACTAAAGTCTAATCACCAACCCACTCTGCCAAGACCCACACCTCTGCAGCTACAACTCCCAAAGCCTTCACCACCCACGCCTACTCTGCTGCCCATGCCACCCCTAAGATGCTGCAACTCCCAACACCCAAAGCCTGCGCTGCTGCCCACGCCACAAAGCCTACACCAGCCGCACCTAAGCTTTTAACCAGACCGATAAGGCTCCATAGCTAACACCGGGAAAAAACTTGAAGATGCTTCGCTACTGCCCACGCCACAAGCAACTACTCCCATGGTGCAACTCCCTTGCTGCAACTCGAGAAAACTCCAAGCTGTTTCAACTCCCCTGCTGAAACTTGGCATTACAGCTCCAACATAAGCTGCCGAAAATAGAACAACACCCACTGCCACCACTAAACTCACCCACAGATCAACTCCCACCAGGACTTCTTCTTACACCTCTCTTCTTGCTCACACCCACTGCAGCCCCATCCACCGACCAATGCCCACTGCAGACCCATGCACCGCCGGGACACCTCTATACACCCACTGCAGACCCATGCACCGACCAACTCACACTGCAGACCCATACACCGCCGGGACACCTCTAAACAATAGGAATAAGTTCACCCCTCAAACTCTCACTCGAATAGGAGCGCTCGAATGAAAAATCAAATAGATCTGGATCGACTACGACACCCAAGTTCCGCCCAAACAAAGCATCAATACATCTCTACCAAATCTGAATCAGAGTTCATCCCTCAAACTCCTACTCGCAAAAGAGCGCACGAATGAATGATACAACAGTTAAACCGGACCCCGAAACACCAAAACAAATTCTACCGCAGCAACATATACACACCAAGGTGGGAAAAATGGGGGAATCAAGTTTATTGAAGGAAAAAGCTAACAAGCAAACACAGGAAAAATATATATACCTATATATATATATATATTGCAAGATTGATGGTATGCCAAGGTACAAGGTACAAGCACTAGTTTGGGGTAAATTTAGAATTTAAATAAAGAAGTGAGGGCTTGGAATTAAACTCATGTATTGGAACCTTACTTATGTAGAATTAACTTAAATTAGGTTAGAGAACCTAAACCGGCTAGCGTAATTCCTGTTCCGATAAAAATTAAAAATGCTATCTGGCAAGATTCGAAATAATTTAAGAAACTAAGGGGCTTTAAGGAAATAATTCAAATACATTTTTCCTGGGCTTCACATTAAATGTAATGAAATGAGAAGGATTAGAACCTTAATGATGTATTTAATTATGATCTAGTTCGGTCTAGGACTAATGTAAATATCTTAGAAGTACACACAAAAATATAGCAAATCTTTATAGGTACCAAAGTCATTATTGCTCCAAGATTTCAAGAGATTTTAAAGTACAATGATTATAGTTTAGGGGGGGTATGATGGCCAGCCATGTGATGGTGAATTGATGGACATGTTATATATATATATATTGTACAAATCTTGGAAATTGTAAAATACATTATTAAAAAAGATTTTTGGGTATAACTGCATATATATAGATATATAAATATATAATAGTACTTGTTTGGGGTCAATTTGTGATTTAATAAAAATGTGAGAGCTTGGGTTCAATCAAAGTATCTATTCCAAGTGTAAAATAATTCAGTTTGTATTATCTTGCTTTGAATTTAAAGGTAAATAACCGAACGATGACTGTAAAAATTGAAAGTTAAGGTTTAGAGCGATTAATCTAAAATTTGAGAGTTAAGTAATTAATATTAAAGTGTTAGACGTGATTTCTAAGCTTCCAAGATCGATTAGGGTTTGTATGGATTCGCCCGTGATGCGTTTTCAGTCCTAGGGTTTAATTTGCGATTAATTGACGAACTAAGGGCTTTATTATAATAATTTAAAATTTAGGGACCTAATAAGGTTTAAAAAAAAGTCAGGGGCCTCATATGAGCACCGAGCATTGTGGGCCATAAAGAAGTTTAACTTCGATATGGCCGCAGTTGGGCTCAACCGGAAATTGCAACTTAATGAGTTGGAGGAAATCCGAAATGATGCATATGAGAGTTTGAGAATTTTTAAATCTCGGACTAAAGAATTCCATGACAAGCACATTAATAGAAAGTCTTTCGAACCGGGCCAAAAAGTGTGGCTCTTTAATTCAAAATTGAGACTCTTTCTGGGTAAGCTTAGATCAAGATGGGATGGTCCCTTTGTGGTTGTTGAGGCATTTATTTATGGCGTCGTTGAGGTGCAAGATCCAAAGACTGGCCACACTTTTAAAGTAAATGGCCAAAGACTGAAGCCATATATAGAAGGGATTGGGAATGGGGAAATGATTGAGTCCATTGCTTTGATGGACCCATTTTACTATGATTGATAAATTAATTTTTTGTTCTCTTTTCTTTCCCTTCTATTCTATTCTGCTTTTCTTTATTCTTGTTGTGCTTTATTTGCGTCTAAGAGACTTTAAATCCTCTAAAAGTGTAATTCCTTTGGTGTTAGCCGTGCCCGAACGGCATCTGACGGTCTGGTATAGCCACCTAACCGTGTTTGTAGTGAGTTCCTAGGAGACCAATTGAGACAGTGGAAACTAGAGTTCTAATGGAAAAGCCTAGAACACAAAGGTTTGGCATTTTCAAGACTAGATTCTGGTTTAAATACCTAGGAGTGTGGAGATTGCTTCAAAACTACCTCGGCTTGAACTCTGTATGGCAGCCCCATAGGTTGAGGTAGCTTTATGCGCCTCGATTCTGGATACCGAATCAACCTAGTCTGTCACCCTGTTAGAGAATAGGGAAAGTTACAAACACAGTTAGGGAGAAAAGTAGTACACGTGGGTTTCGCATGAAGATTATACCTTTAGTGGGCATTCCGTTATTTTCCTATGTGCTATATTTATTCCAGATGTCAAATGAAGGTAAAAAAATGGTTTAGCATGCTTTGGGTGGTACTCGGTTTTTAATTTATTATCTTTAATCTTTCAAAAATATACATATACATATACATAGAGTTATACCATTCAAAAAAAAAAAAACCCGCACGTGCGGCACAATTCCAAAATCAAAAGTTGCACACTGCTTTAAAAGCAGGGGCGCGGGGAGGTGCGTGTGTGTCTGCACGTGCAGGAATACCCACCGCACGTGCGGCGATTCTTTGAAAAAATATATATATAAATGTTTTGTTTTGTTTTCTTCTATTTTTTTTTTATTATTTTTAATTTATTTACTTATTTCAAAATAAATACATAAATTTTAAATAAATAAATAAATACATTTTAAAAATAAATACATAAATATACAATTATTTATATATATATATATATTATTAATTAATTTATTTTTATTTTCTATTTTTTATTATTATTATTATTATTATTAATTTATTTACTTACTTCAAAATAAATAAATCAATTTCAAAAACAAATAAATAAATATACAATTATTTTTATTTACATATATGTATAAAACAATAATAAAAAAAATTAAATTAAAAAAAAGTATTTTTATTTATTTATTTTTCACTATTTTCATATTAAAAAAATTATTATTATATCTAACACCTAACCTTCTCTCTCCCAATCACTCCAGATTTTGTCTCTCTCCCTCCCCACCTCTCATTAGCTATCTCTCTCTCTCTTCTCTCTCAACCCCACAACCCACAAAATCCATAACCCACCATCACCATCTTGTTCTTCCTTTTTCTTTTCTTCTTCTTTCTTGTTCCTCACCACCATCATGTCACTGCCAGCATCACTATTTCCTCTCCGTCCGACGAATCTCTAGCGACCACCATTTTTTCCGGCGAATCTCCATTCTTTTTCTCTCTTTCTCCATTTTTTTTAAGGTAAATTTTTCTTTTTGTGTAGATTTGTGGGTGTAGGAATAAATTTCTAGGGATTTTGTTTTAGTTTGTTGTTGATCTATGGTTCATCCTTTAAAAAAATAAAATAAAATAATCTGCGTAGGAAGAAGATGAGAGCTGCACGTGCGGCTCTCTTCGGCGCACGTGCGGCCCCCAAAAAAAAAAAAAAACTCAAAAATAAAGGTACTACTAATATTAATAATTTAGCTTATTTTTATTTACTATATTTGTTTAGTTTAAATTTTTTAGTAGTGATTGTCTTAGTTTCATTAGTTAGTGGATTGTTGTTTTTATTTTTATTTTACTTGTTAGTTAGTGATTTTATTTTTATTTTTATGTTATGATGTAATTGTTCATTTAATTGTTAAGTAGTTTAGTTTTTATTGTTATTTTATTTTATTTTCTCTAAATTTTTATTTTATTTTATTTTATTTTCTTCTATTTTAGTAGACACAAATAAAAATTAAAAAAAAAAAAAAGTTTAGTTTAGTTTATTTTATTCTATACTTTAGTTTATTTTGTACTATAGTTTACTTCTTTTATAGTTTAGTTTAGTTTATTTAATGTCATTCTTATTCATTTATTTAATTCTTTTCTTTTTTATATAAATAAATACAAAAAAAAAATTGGTGTGAATTGCATGTGGTACATCAGTGGGCTGACTTGTGCTTTAATATTTTATTTGATTCTCATACTGGTTTCACGGGTATATGTGTTTATTGTTGGTGTGTGTAGGATATGAGTCGACGTATTTCCGCTCGGGCCTCCAAAAAGGCCGGAGGTTCCACCTCTTAGGCGCCACCATCGCCACCGTCACCATCCTCGCCACCACCACCGGGTGACTTGCCATGGCCGGAGTGGGCTTCCTGCCCGCTTCACAAGCTCACGCAGTTCAACATTCCATATTTTTAGCGTGACACGGACACTACTTGGGCCATTGAGCTGCTCCAACTCCGGCAATAGTTGGGCGTTTGCACTGTGACAGCGCCCACTTATCCTCGTCTGGTACGACTCTTCTACCAGAACCTATATGAGTCACTCACCGAGGATGGACTGCTATCTACCATTGATGGTCATATTGTCCACATCACCTCATCCGTGATTGCCACCGTGTTAGGGTTTTTTGCCAAGCCAGAATATCAGCCCTTCCCGGAAGTTGAGGATCGAAAAACCCATACATAGCCTCATCCAACAATACTTCCCAAGGGCCCACGGTGACAACAGTTTCACATGCTTGCAGCGGAACAAGCTGCCTAGCTGCTTGCTATTCATTGATTCCGTGGTCCATAAGAATGTCCTTCCACTTGGGCATAGAGCTCAGCACCGTTTGAAGTTTGTTCGGGTTTTACACGGTTATCAGCATGGCTATCAGGTCCCACTTGAGCATATCATCTGGATACATTTGCGAAAATTTCTACGAGAGGTAGTTCGGTCTGAACCTATGCAGAACCCGACTTGGCCACTGCCATTTGCCAATTTGTTGACACTTGTGTTTGAGCTGAACGGCCTCCCCATTACTTAGAATGAGGAGATTGATAAAGCATATTCGACTTTCGGCCAGCGGGAATGGCAGCATAGCATATCTCGCATCCCGCAGCAGGTTGGTGCCCCAGTTGATGAGGCCCAAGACCCCGTACACGACCACTCACCTCATCCTGTTCCCCCCGTGCCTTCCCAAGGGGACCCACTCTACATGACTCGCGAGGAGTACTTACAGCTTCAGCACTCTGTGGATCAGGTCCACAGTACTCTTCGTGATCACCACCAGAGTCTCATGGAGTTGCGCACAGATTTTCAGGCGCATCGAGACTATTCTCAGGTGACCTTCACCCAGCTACATGCTCGCCAGCTCGACATCCAGCAACGAGTTCAAGATGAAGCCTTTGAGACGCGATCTTTGATGCAAGCCTTGTTTGCCCAGCATTTCCCGCCACCACCACCATCGGCTTCTCCATAGTACCCATTGTATATTGCTTTCTCTCTTTTATTTTTATTTCTTTTCAGTTATTTCCTCTTCTCAAAAATAAATAAAAAATAAAAAAAAAATTTGAGTGTGTGTGTGTGTTACTATATGCCTACTTGGATGTGCACCTACAATCTCTGGTAATCTTCTCTCATTTCTCTTTACTTTTCCATTAAGGACAATGTCATATTCAAGTTGGGGGATGAGGGTTGTATTTTCTTTTGTGCATTCTTATTTGGCTCAATCATTCATGCTTATACCTGTTTTACTTGATTGCATTACTTCACTTGATGTGACTTGTTGCTAGTAGGGTGATGATATTTGTATATGTTAATTAGGGAGCATAGTAGACTTGTAGGAAAAGGATTTATTGGGTAGATACTTGCATGTGATGTTTGCACTAGGGGAGTCGTTTGTGCTTGTGGTATTAGTGCACTGGTCATAAGTATGCCTTAATTCACATGAACACACTCTCATAGTGGTGACCTCTTTATTATAATCCCTAGTGTACATCATTGATAATAGCTAGGTTGCAGAAAAGAATAAATGAGGAGCCAAGATTCTCTTAAAAAAATAAATAAAATAAAAAAACTTGACTTGTTTGGGTTCGTAGCCTTTTTAACTCGAGTTATTAAGCCCGTAGGGGTGTCTTTACACCTAGTGCCCTAAAACCATCTAGTTTGGGAGTCATTGGCCCAATACTTGCTACATGGGCTAATTAGAAAGCTTAAGGAACTTAGACATTGCACAGTTAAGGAAAAAATAATGAGAATGACTTGTTCGGATTCGTAACTTTTTCAACTCGAGTTATTAAGCCCGTAGGGGTATCTCTACACCTAGTGCCCTAAAACCATCTGGTTTGGGAGTCATTGGCCCAATACTTGCTACATGGGTTGATTAGAAAGCTTAATGGGTTAGAACATTGCACCGTCATTTAAAAAAAAAAAAAAACTTGAGAATCTTGGCAGCAACAAGTTAGTTTTTATGTATATGTTGGGTGTTATTGTGAGTTACACTGGGCTATTATAGTGGACAATTAACTAATATAGAGATTGCACTTTCCACCAAGGGTACTGATGATTTGGCTACTAGCATGCACAAGTACAGGGGACTTTACTTTTGTATTAATTGAATTGTGGTTTTGACTCAATAGGTTCCTTCATGCTTGTCCACTATGCCTTTAATGACTCATTATGTTTTAATATCACACTGTAGTGGCACATAAGTTGATTGCTAGGTGAAATAGTGTGGTTAATTGTTGGGCGTATATGAATATGAAAATGTTTGTGGGTATCATTTCTGGAAACCCTCACGAGACTTTACTCGTCCACTTGGGGTAACTTCGTGGTTTAAAGGCTTATTGCATATGCTAAATGCAACCGTTTTTCCACGAAAGAGGAAATAGTTAGATTTTGTTTAATTTTATTTTGTTTTTATTACTTCCTTAAGAACTAGCAAGTTGTAAGTTGGGAGATGTAATTAAGGCCGAATTGTACATCATTGAGGCCGTTAATTAGGATCTCTTAACTTCACTTGATTGTCAAACTGTATACTTTATGTGTGTTGAATGTCAATCAGGTTATACATAGTCGGAGCATAAAATGAGCAAAAAGACAGAATTTGGAGAGAGCTGACTTTCCCGCACGTGCGTTGACTTTCCCGCACGCGTGTTGACTTTTTCTAGAAAAACGTGCCAGATGTTTTAAACCTGTTTGAAAAGACACCAGAAGTATAAATAGGCAAGAAAAAGGCTGGATTAGGGTTCGGAAGTTATTTTGTCAAGAAAGGGAGGCTAGGGTTTGAAAAGAAGAGGAATTTGAAGCTTCAAGCATGTCTCCCATGGTGGCTTCTTCTCCATGTACCTCCTTCCACTCCTCCATGAGTGGCTAGTCTCCTTTTCTAGGATTTTGATGAAACCCTAGCCATGTAATAGGTTTTTCTTTTTGGATTTTCAATTATGTAAAGGTTTGAACACTTGTATGGTGTTTTAGAAGTTTCATATATATATATATATATATATATTTTTCATTATTTCTTCAAATATTCGGCTTTCTGTGATTGTTGAATGTTTTCCATACAAGGGTTTTCTATTCTTTCACATTCAAGGTATGAGACGAATCATACTATGAGAGACGAGTTGTATCACTACCTTAGTTTAGAGTGAACGATTCATACTATTTGAGATGGGTCGTGCTCGTACATTGAACGTGATGATTTTCTTGTTAAATGCTTTGAACTTGTAGTTACGAAGCATTATTCCGTACGAACCACAACATAATTGTTTTCAATTTGAAAACCCTATTTACGTGACTAGTGGTGGACTCTTCGCCCTAGATTTTTCCCCAATTCAGTAAATCCATTTTCAATTATAATTGATAATTTAATTATTTAGTTTAATTTATTCGTTATTAAATTAGGTTATGATCAATCAATCTTGTCATCAAAATTAATTTAGGAATTTATCAATTAAATTAGTTTAATTTCACAATTATCCCGGTGGATCAATACCTGGACTTGCCATTATTCTAAAAGAATTTGGTGTAGTTTAGTGTTTAATTTCGGTGTGTTCAACGACCCACCAATTATCCTTTTGAACAAATTGTATATTTTGGCCCAAGAAAATTACAATTTTGACCTTGATCCAAAAAATTAAGAAATTGACTTATAACCAAAATGTCCTATTTTTAAACCAAACTAAAAACCAAATTTTTGATGTTGAATTCTATGAAGTGAATGTACCATACCCTTTCCTTGTTTTATTTCGTGAAGGAGCATACTATGGGCTCTTTGGGGAACATCAGTAAAAAGTTAATTTTTTGGCTTTTCAACTTTTTTAAGTCAAAAAAATCAATTTTTTTACCCAAAACAACCTAGTTTTTTGCCAAAAAAATATTAAAAAAGTCAAAATATTAACTTTTTACCAACTTTCCAAAATACCACTATTCCTAGTCCATCTTGGTGTACTGCTAGATAGTCTAATTAGGTTCGTGGGCCATTCATTAATTTTTGTAGGTCTTTTTGCCCAAACTATTCATAAAAAAATAAAAACGAATAAATATATCAAATTAATCTATTAATCAAAATTATATTATTTCATTATATTTATTTTCAAACAAAATCGACAGTTTATTATCAAACTCATACTTACCATCTTATTTTTTTTTTGAAAAAAATTGTAATAACATAATGTATGGATTTTATACACAGAAATTACAAAATGAATAGATTCAATCATTAAAATAGGACTCGTGGTGGGTCTCAAGGGCCCAACTGGATGGATAGTTATTCAATAATCCTAAAGTATCATGTGACATTGTTTACATGATACTCTTAATTAAAACAATAACAACGCACCTTTGTTAGGTAGTTGGGAGACAATGACATCTTATGTAGTATGTTTTCTATTTTTTTATTTGTTAAAATACCGTTTAAACAATGTCACATGGTACTCCGAACTGTGCAACAGGACAATTAAAAAAAATGAGAAAATAATTATGAGGAGACTTACCTCAAGGTTTTTGGATAATTCAAAGTAATGGGAGTCAACCGGGACCCAAAAGGCATGTTGCCTTTCCTCAGGAGTTCCATCAATGGGGAAAACTTCCTCCGGTTGGTACCAAACTTTGTTGAGGAAGTTGTCATGTAAGTTGCATTCTGTTACATTTGTTGCATAATTTGCAAGCTTTATGTATCCAATTTCTCTCGTGTAGTCTCCATCTGCTTCCAGTGATAGTTCATCTTCAGGCCCATCTCCATACATCGGCATCATTTCAAGTTTTGAGTTTAGTAAACACAACTATTATTTACACAGAAAATCAGTTCACAGAAGGCAAAAACTCTCACATAAAGGAGGGGTAAAACCTAAACAATGGCAGCAAATGAAATCAATCATTTTATTATTATCTTCTTGTAAGTTGCAAAATAGAAACAATCAATTCTAAATACAAATATATATATATATATATATATATTACAGAATGATATAATAAGAGTGTTGTTAACAGCGCCTCGTGGGCCCATCCATTAGCTTGCCTACGATCTTGGCCTGTGGGAGGCAGCCCGTTGGACCAGCCCTTGATCCCATCAGAAATTATGAAAATATTATATGAAAAATAGAAAATTAATGAAAAATTAAGGTTTAAATCTTGCTTTGTTAGGCTAAGCCAGCGAACTTGGCCTATTAACTAGTAAGAGGCAATCCATTGACCTGCTCTGTTCGGCCTGCGCTCGTAAAAAAAATTTTGGGCTTGGGCAACAGGCTTGATCTCCATTTTTTTCAACCTAGACCGGCTCGGCACTACTTCATGCGCACATAAAAAAATTAATACATTTCATACTTCATGCGCACATAAAAAAATTAATACATTTCATTTTGAATGTTATGACCGTCGAATTTGGCCATACATACATATATATATATATATATATATTTCTTTGGGGTTACAAAGAGGCCAAAGCCAAGATCAAGCGGGCACTGGCCTAGGGGTTCCCAATCTTAGGTGTGAGGCGTTCCCCAATCTTAGGAGTGATTATTTGTTAAAAACTCAACATAAAATATTAAGTCTTACTATTTTAACTAATAATTATCAATTTAGGACATCGGCTTAACTGCCAAAGGAGGCTAATATAGAATGGTATCCCATACAAGATTAGTTAGACATATTCAAGATCAAAACTGCTGGAGAGGATCTATATCCACATAATATAGCCCCACTCCGGATCCTCCCAAAATTGCTGGAGAGGATCTATATCCACATAATATGCTACATAAATTAACCGTAATGACAGAGATTTTCACAGAACACAACCCCCACAACCCTTAAATGATCTGGACCATTTATATTACTGTCAAATATAGAAAAAAAAAATTCCAACATATCAATAATCAATACATCAGTGAAGGGTCATGAAAATCCTGGGATCCCAAACATTTTTCATAAATTAATTATCTTCCCAATAGAGACTTTGATCTCCGAACTCACATTTTATTATTATTTGACTTCCTTTGCAGGATAACATTTCAACTTAAAGCTAGCTAGGTGTTGTGTTGGTATAGGTGGAGGGGTTTACCTGCCAGTTCCAA